ATCTAAGAGAGGGAGCGCACGGGATGGCTCAACTGCTGTGATAGATAAAAGATAACGCGTGGTACAGACAGCTACACAGCAGAACGCTTTGTTGACATAAAGCTCGTTAAAATGCAATCAAGTAGCAAGTACCATAGGCTACAATACTTTACACTATTGTGTATACTCGATTACCTGAGTTAATAGGGACAAATGACAAATGACAAATTCTTTATTTAACCTGCCCTGAGTTAGACCAAAGGTCCACTCTTCCCCCAGGACAGGAACAACAAATATACAAACAACATATACATGTACAGAGTTGTGGACTATGAAAAACTAAAATTTACTTTTAATAAGTGAAAAACACAAATTATATAACAATACAGAAGTGTAAAAAAGAAATTAACTTAAACTTACAAATCAAAATATATTACATTGATAACTAAATATTTTATCACCTAAAACTATGATGGAATTGTCAAACAAAATGAGGATACCTATATTTATACATGTGCAAAAAGTAATAGTTGAAAAATGATGGAGAGGGGAGAGGGGGGAATGAAAAATACAGTTAATCTATATATATAAAAGGCAAAGCCCTCACTGACTGACTGACTCACTCACTCATCACTAATTCTCCCACTTCCCACTTACCTAAGAGGCTGAAATTTGGTACACTGATTCTTTAGGCATTAAATAGAAAAACTAAGTGGTTTTTATTCTGATCGGACTCTCGGGCTCCGCCCCAGTGGCTCTGGAGATTCCCATGTTAACCTAATGAGTACTCATATTTAAATGGAATTAATGAATCATAACAGCTGTTTCAATTAAACAAGTTGGTTCTGTTCTGTGATGTTCAATAGCATTAAAGTTACAAGGATTACCAACAGAGTGCAGCACTATTATTTTTTTTAATTTATGACAACAGCTAATTTGCAACCAAAAGGTGAGTGAGCGTAGCGAGCGAACTTCAACCCGGAGGCGAGTTAGCGTAGCGAACGAGCTAACCTGAAGGCAAGTGAGCGCAGCGAACGAGCTCCAACCGTAAAGGTGAGTGAGCGTAGCGAACGAACTTCAACCAGGACGTGTGAGCGCAGCGAACGAGCTCCAACCTAAAGGTGAGTGAGCGTAGCGAACGAACTTCAACCAGGACGTGATTGAGCCATGCGAACGAGCTCACATATGAAGCTAAACGGGGCAAAGCCCGCGGGTACAGCTAGTCCAATATAGTATGAAAACAGATGACAAACTCATTAAAACGCTGTAAACAGCGATTAAGTCACGATTTACATTTTTATAAACGAAATTCAATATTGCACAATCATTATTATTGTAAATTTCAAATAATTTATCTTGGTTCAGTTGTACAAACGGCTACGTTTAAAATTGTAGCTAACTCAAACTCAACTAATCACTAGCCAAACATTACATTGCTATAAATAACGTAAATATTAAAGGAACCTTTAGAAAGTGTTATAAGGTACTGCTCATGATAGACAGATAGGCTACCGATAGGTGCTGTATCACAGCATAGGAATTGATAGATAAGTAATAAAAAAGTATAAAATTATATTTAGAGATAATTAAAACACTCTTTAAAAAAATGTAACGAGAACAATCTTGTTATTCTCTTTCTTTGTTCTTCTGTTCATTAATAGGTTTCTCTTCAATTCATACACAAATTCAACAAGTCGCCATATTTAGGCCTACTCATTGGCCAATCACAGCCTTACTAAAGTTACCATGGTTATCACTCAATCACAGTGTACCACAGTGTACTAAGCATTATATCGTCATCATTCCCCAGCTGTTGTATCTGACTGAAATCTGTTGTAACATAGCGCATAGCAGACAGAAGTGTATAACGGAGCAGACGATTGTTGGCGCAAGCGTTTTTTCCATTTCATTTTCATCAAAGGAGCTGTGATGTTTCTTAAGGGAGGGAGAGGGGATCGTTATTTCGAGAAAGACGCTGACAATTCGTTATGGATAATCTGGCAATACAAAATTCCGTAAATTGAGGTGACTTATAAAACTCTAATTTTATTTATATAGAAAGATAAGTTTATTTCCAGTCCTGTACAACACTGATTCACGGTCTTTTCCCTGTAATCAAAATTCAAGTACAACTTGATACACACAGAATCTCCGGTTCCTGACCTGGATGATGGCTAGTTATTTAATTTAATTTACAGTTACATATTAGTACTCGTTATAAATCAAACCCGTTATGTAAGCCAAAGCCACACGGTTATTAATCTCACTTGGTTTTGGATTTGCTTACAAACGTGATCGGAAATGGTTAGGGCCTTTCTTAAAGAACATTTATGTAAACATATCAGTGACAGCTAGGAAAAGGAATCTTTATCAAAACAGCTGTTCGTAATTCCATATATGACGTGTTCTCTTAACAGATTATTAGTATTTCATAAATTAATGACGTATGTAGCAAACATGGAGAAAATAAACTAGAAAAATCACACAAAATTGTATTTTTGATCGTCCGTTATTTTATTTCCAAAATAGTGAGGCCATATTTTAATGGCTATAAGGACTCTCTCACCAATCCTGTGGATACAATTAAACCATTAGAATCATAATCGGTACTCTAGTTTACTTTAGAGTAGGCCATGAGTAGGCTGCATAAAATGCCTTCTGGGCCGTGACAGAGGGACATAAATGGAGATAAGACATGTTTAAACTTCTTCAATGTATAAAACATAAATAACCCAAAATATGTATAATTCTGAGCAATGTACAGAAAAAACGATAACTTTATTGATATAGATTAACTGGGTTTGAAATTTAAATATCTAAAAAAAATTACGTATAAAACTTCTTTTATAGTTTTACAAATTGTTCTGGGCGGGGGAATAATGTTTCTCATTTGTTGTGTACATCATTTATGGGGGGGGCTGTTGCTCAATTGGGGGGGGGGGTGCGTCATGAGTCTAGGGGGGATGGGCACCCCTGTATAATATGTGCAGAAATCTGACTGGTAGCGGATCTAGGGGTGGCACAGGCACAGTGAGCTAAACCTAGCCTTAAACTCCCTCTCCAGCACATTCCAGTTTACCTCTTTATTGGTTCAGAAACATCATTGCTCCTCACCCACCTTAACCTGTACCAGTAACCAGCAGAAACAAATACATACAACACCACAACAACACATCTTGCCCTCATGGTCAGTACTTTATCTATTTTTACAATATTTCGAAATCATCTTTTTAAGGAAAAGGGTGATTTCAAAATATTGTCAAAATAGATAATAATTCATATTTGCTGGACTTAACTTCATAAATATAAGCTATTGTTAAACAGCCAAACATACTGACTAAAAAGTCTGTGCACTCTTTATGTTAGCACATTCCAGTTTATCTCTTTACGGGCCCAGAAACTTCGTTGCTCTTCACCGACCTAACCTGTACCAGCAGAAACAAATAACAAACCACAACACATCTTGCAGTCCCTCCTTTTAAAGCAGTTTCCTCACATGACTGTGGGAAGAAATTGAGAACAAATATGTATAGAGAAATCTGTGAAGAACATTAGCTTTACACTAGAGTCATGCGGAGAATATAAATTCAACCTCTGCTGCCTACTGAGCGGAATTTAGACAATCCCGAGTCCGAATGACGACGAGTTTTCCCATTTTCAGCAGCTGGTGGGTTGGCTGTATTTATTTCCCTGCTTTATGTAGTTTCACCCATACGGTGCTTTGGTGGGTTATGAAAGCGTGGGCTCAACTCAACACACTAATCAATCAAGATTGGGGATTTTCCACTAGGTTTCTCTGTCCACTTCTTGTTATGATTTTAAAAATATGTATAATTATTTTTTCCTACAGTTACCTAACAATGTACATGTTCTCTCATTGATTTGAGAAAGCACAGTGGCCAATTCGCTCATCAGTGAGACAATGTTAACATTGTCTCACTCTAATTACTTTGTCTCACTCCAGATTTGCAACGTGAAGGCACGAAATAGTGAGCGCGTAACATGCAGGCAACATCGTATGCGCGCGAAATACGTTGGCAGCACTGGCTGTAAATCAGCTGGTCAGCTGTTGTACTGTTGTATTTGTCACTTCACGTTATATGTTATATTAAAAGTACACTTCTGTGTAAAAATAGGTTATGTTTCTTCACCAATTTATTTGTTTTATCGTAACTGTAGGAAAAGTATAATGTGCAACTCGAGTTCAAAGTACAATTGCCTCACTCGAGAAACCATTACCATAAAACCATAAAAGCTTTTGATAAAAAAATATAATGAGTACCTATTTAACATTATTGATAAGTTGTATCTACATATGACCCAACACAGTATGCCCCCTTATTGATCCAATACCGCATAACTTAAAGCTTAATAAACTCTTTATTTACACATAGCGTTATTTTATGTGCTTAAATATGTTTTAGGCCTATGACTTTGTATAAATACGTTCTTGAACTCGAGTTGAATAGGCTGGATAATCTATGTTCACTATGCATAGACAGACTTACATGATTGAAATAATACTTTGTGTTAATTTTTGTTTGACGTAGAAAAAATTCGAAATAAAATAATTATTTTTTATAATGCATTTTTTTATAACTCCAGTCTAAAAAAAGTGTTGTTTTCATATAGGCTAGTGTGACTTCTAACGACCCATATATATTGTTGAGCTGAATGTTTTGACGAAATACATGTCTTATTAAATCATGAGGAAATACTGTATCACAAGTTCAGTATTACTTGCATAGAAACATGTTCGAGACCCAACAAATTCACATCTAACAAATGAGGATGAAGATGAAGTTACATTTGCTAAACATTTTCTTTACAAGTGTCTCGGAGACACAATAAATCAGTCACACAAATGTAAATACCAAATCTATCATTATTAAGATACAGGGTATAGCTTAACTATTTTTATAATGAATTAAAACTAATTCCTGTATTTTAAATATTTGTTTAGAATGAGTACAATAAGTAAGTAAAATATAGCTACTTTGAGGAAATTAGGGCAAGCTTACCTAATCGTAATAAAATCCGAAAGTTGCAAAGCGTGAGTGTAATCTGTGATGCAGTGGCACACACTATCACACAACTACGCACACACAGACAGACTGCGCTACTCAGGGCAGTCGCAGTACGAGACTGAGCGCGGCGCAGGCGTACAGCGGCTAGTGTACAGCGCAGAGTGGTGGGGCAGTAACAAACTGTTTTGTGATTGCTGCATGTAGCTATTAAATCCTACAGAACCCCTGCAGAAGATAGTAAATCTCAGTACCGGACCATTGTTTTAAGTAGGCCTATATGGAAACAGAAAAAAAAAATAATTATGGAAAATAGTTTTCCCCTTTTGTCCTTTATGGTGATTAGTATACCAATTAATGTGTTTTTATTTCATTACAAGTCATTACAAATCGTAGTTATATTTGTTATTTTTTGTACGGGTGCCTTAATTTAACTTTCCTCTCTTTTTAGTTCAGGGCAGTTGTATATTGGAACACAGAATGAAGAGTCCGCCCCTTGTTTATAGAGAGCTGTGGCAGTTAGTTTAGGTTAGTTAAATTTACGATAGTTAAAAACAACAAGGTAACTTTTAAAAGAATTTACGTTTTAATAAGACAACGAAAAGGACAAGAATACAAATTGGCGGTCAAGAAAACTTGCCTCTTTAAGGAAATTGAACAAAATCACAGCTTTTTGGATAACCCCCTATTTTCTTTAGGAAACAATTAACTGAACTTAATTAAACCAACCCACCTACCTTAGGTCAATTTGTGTTAATAAGTGATTTTACTTCACTTTTAGATGTCCATTGCAAAAATAAAAATAATATAAAACTTCGATCAAACGATTTTTTTCATAAAGAGATTTAGACAAAAATAAAAATCATGCAACCTCAGCAATCGAATATTCTTTGTCGTAATTTGCCATCAAAATCTTTGAAAATAATTGTTTGTAGTACAATAATAAATTTTTAAATTTTTAGGGTTTTTAGCTTAAATAAACTTATTTTAACTACTGCAAAGGTCTACAGTTAAGTGTTTTGACTATTATCTTAAAATGAAAGGATTCAAACAAGTAATCTTGGCATGCGTCCAAGCGATCAGTTTCGAAATTGCGCTCCTAAATGCATACGAATTGAAACATTTCCATTGAGAGTGTTTTTAAAGAAGTTGTCATTAACACGTTCTTGAGATCACACTTCTTCATGCCAAATATGGCAAAGCATCTTTCCTTTCGAAAGGAACTTTGCTTGGATGTAATTTAAATGGTTCGAATAAAACCTCTTGACCGTGGCGCCAGCCTCCAAAAGATCGTTTTTCTCGTCTGAGACAAAGACCTTGAATGTGACAGGGTCAGCTGATCTCTGCCAAATAACCACTTCTGATGCGGATGGTCAGAAGCTTCAAGGGTCAACAGCTGGTTAATTGAGCAATGTGAAATCGCATAGGGCTTCAGAAGTTTTTATTAATTCTAAATAATTTCTTTATTCAATTCAAATATTCTTTATTTATACAATATACTGTATATATTTTGACAATATATATATTATATTTGTACAATGGTACAACAAATAGTGTCAATGTTTACATAAAGAAATATTAATAACAATAATCCTATTATATAAAAAACAGTTCTACTAATTTTGTCAAAATTAAAAATAAATAAATTAATGTGTATGGCAGCGAAAATTCAATTTCTTATCCATTGATTTGATTTGTTACTAATAAACAATTACTCTTAACTCTGTGATTTTCGAAAAAATGGTTAGAGAGTATGGGGCTAATTTTAGCAAATATTCCTTTAAGCTATTCTTGCATTTAATTACGTTTTGTTCACCAAGAAATAACCTTAGTAAATGAAAAAACAATTTTGTTCCCATGTATTGCGTTTTCTTTTTGAGAAATTCTAAATTGTATGGTTCTACCGGTCTATTTAATCTGGTTTTGTAGGGGTGAACGTTGTTTACAAAATTTTGATTTTCTAATTGTTTCCCATACATTACAGTCTAAAATTGTTAAAAATTGTTGTGTGTTGTTGTGTTGTGTAAAATTGTTGTTGTTGTTGTTTGTTATTACAGTCTCTAAAATGTAGAGAGCATAAACTGTTAGGATGTTTATGAAAATAAATAAATGTTTAACAGATTTACCCCTTTTCAACTTAAACACTCTTAACGCGTTTTTTTGTTTCCGTAAGATTTTATCTAAATTTGCTTGAGATGTTGCTCTGTAATTGCTTATTCCATAGGACAGGTGAGAACGAATTAAAGAATAATAAACAGTTTTAAATGTTTCTAATTTACAAAATTTAGCCATTTGGCTCAAGGCAGACAAACCTGTTGACACTTTGTTAACAACATGTTTTGTATGATCGTCCCAGCTCAGATTAGCGTCAAAGATAGCGTCAATGAATGAGTTATTGGTGTGCAATGCAAGTTGCTTATTTAAAATACACATACTGGTTAAAGCACCCAACATAAAACTATTTAATCATCACCATAAGAGAAATGAGGGAAAAATATTTCAAACCAAGTCATTGTTGTAAAAAATGTATAACCATTGTCTATACAGGGTGAGTTTTTGGGAACTCATTTAACCCCTGTATAGGCCTACCATAAAAATAATTGAATAATCAATTATTTTAACTATGTTTATGCATTCAGAAGCTTTATTCACCTAATTCGTTTTTGTATAAATAGGCATACTCTTTGAAGTTATAAGGGTATTGCATTATTTGTTTTGCCTCGAAAACAATTTTTGAAAGCCTTTAAATTGCGCAATTTGCGCAAGGATGGTCGGATAGGTTTTGTCAACCATTATGTTCCTCGTTACCTGGCGTTACAGTAGTTGTGTCTTTAAAGTGCAAGGAAGGAATTATGGTATATAGTCAATGGGTATAGCTTATATATCAGAAATATTTAAATCTACCATATGTTTAATGGGTCGAAGGAGTCGCCGAATCTACGGCATTAAGTTACTGAACAATCATTATAGTTGTCTTCATTGAAATAATATCTTTCTATTTACTTACGATTTTATTCGCTACAACTATAGATTTAAAATACTCTTTTTGTACTTCTTGTCTAATATAATACGGTATTATACAGGGTGGAAAAAGTACCTTGATGGTTGAATATAAAAAAGTTAAAGATTGAGTGATTAAAACAATACTTTCCCCATATACAGGTGGAGAAAGTAAACAGTAGCAATGGTCATTTAGAAACTATTTAATCCAACCATCAATCAACACCTGTGACCACCGCCTCCACAATCGCCACCTGAGTCATCTACCTGCTGTGGCGCCCTTGGAGGGTCAAGGCCTTCTGTATAAGGCGAAAACCTTCTGGCGAATGTCTTGGTCGGTGTCGATGGCAGTGGCTCATACTACCACTCGACACTTGGCTCTGGTTGCTGCCTTGGTGTGAATTATTGGCTGACTCTAGGTCATATCCGACTGACAATTTGGGAAGAGCACACACTCCAGGCAACAGTGGGAGTGTTGTACCTTGTATCTCAAAACATAGATATTGTAGTAAAGAACAAAAGTGGAAAATATTTAGGGTACATGGTACACCAATGTGAGAAAAGCAGTATTTTTCTGAGTATCCTAATGGCTATAACATCTTCAAACCTGATTACCTGAAGGCGGTTGGTTCGCTCCAAAGATTCTGGAAAGTATTGGACTATTCAACGAATGGTGTTATCTAGCAAAAGGTTTGGGGCGCTCTCTTAAAACTTCTTAAAAATGCCAAAGACGCTAAAACGCTAACTTAAGTTAACAAATTATTCAATTAATTTAATAAATGTTGATTTTAATAAAAATCTATAACCTCTGCTCTTCAAGCATTGCATTGCTACAAATACCATCAAAAGTTATATATATATTTAAGTTTGTGATTATGACGATTACCAAATTAGGATACATCGGTCTTCCGTTTCTTTAGCTAGGACCATGATTTAGCCCAATGATAAAAACAACTAAGTTCAGGGTTGAACCAGCAAGCTTCTAACTTTTTAGGTTCGAACTGGCAACCCTCCGATTGCTAGTTGAGAAATTTAACCACTTTGCTATTCAGCTATCAATCTTGCCTGGCTTATCAACTCCTGTCCTGAGCTACCGTGTGGGGTGAGAGATCTCACGTTGATGCGTTGATCTAAGATGAGTCTGATCAAAAAGCTGCTGACCTTTCTCAGGGTTGAACCGACAACTTTCTGATCATCAGACAAGCACAATAAGGAATTAGCCACCTACAATACAATAGGAAATGTATGTATGTACCTACTTTTAAGGTATGCGTAATTTATCTTTGGTCATGAGGTTTGGTAATTTGTTTTTGGTCATGAATACCTTTAACACACAAAAGGAAGTGCTTTAACTCTTATGAAATGATCTCCTAAAGGTATACCTCTCTTTGAATTCACCCATTGACCCATTCACACCTCATAGAGTGCGATGGAGAGCGTGTAAAAGACGTTTAACAATTTTTTACAGCAGGAACAAAAGAAAGCCCGCATCGGGGTGTAAATGGTAGTAATATCGAATGAAATGACCCGAGAAAGCTGAACTGCTGAACCGGGCGAAAGTCTCGCAGCTGTGGGACATACAGCCGTCAATCGTGGTCACGTGGGACATCAATCTATAACTGCAAATTATAAACTGGAAGATAAATTAATCTAATTTAAGATGAAAATAGTGTCCTCAGCACCTGATAAATCCTACAGTCCAGCACACGTACGAAGACGCTGAGAGAGATACATATTGACTACGGTAATAGTCTATAGTCTTAGGCTATCATGCCTCAAATTTAACACAACTGCAAAGTATAAACTGAAGGGTTCAACAATCATTAGGCTAAGTAGATTAAAATAGTGAAACATCATTTGGCATTCTATCCTCCTGATGCCTCTACAATGTACAAAACATTTGCAACTATAATATTGCATTAAACAACGTCGTAGATGAATTGTTACCAAGTTTTCCGTATTATTTACCGAGTATATCGATGCTATGTATTTATTTCCAAATCATAAATTAATTAGCAATGTTACATTTTACATAATATGACCTTGATCGTGGCCTTTTAACAGTTGGAGTTTTAATTAGGTTAAGGTTACGCTAGTATTGTGTAATTACCTAG